CGGCTCCCCGCCCCCGCCGGCAGGTGCAGCCCGCGGGTCCCGCCCAGGCGCCCGGCCCGGGGAGCCCCGCCAGGACCCGCCACCCGCGGAGCCGCCACCCGGGGAGCGGGGCCCCGAACCGCCCGGGCCTGGGGCCAGTCTGGGCCCGGCGGGTCGGGCCTGCGCGTTTCGTTTCCCCCGCGGCCGCAGTTTGTACAGAGACCAGCCAGACCGGGTCCGACCCAGGGTCCGGCCAGCCCCGTGTCCTGTCCCACCGTGGCCAGTGCCCGGCGCCCCGAGGGGATGAACGGAACAGGGAATCACCCAGTGACCCATCCCCTGCCGCCCTTCCCGGCTTCTGGCACACAGAGGCCAGGGACACCATCCCTGCCCAGCCTGGCTACTAGCCATGTATCCGCCAGGAATGTATCTAGTTCTTTTTTTAACCCTGTTATAGTCCTGGCCTTCACAACATCCTCTGGCAAGGAGTTCCACAGGTTGACAGTGGGGCTGCTGAGAGCCATTGAACCAAACGGTAAACCCTGCATATAATGGAAACTACTTCAACCCCCCCGGGGGGGGGGCAGCACCCTCAATTCCAGCACGTATGGCCCATGCATCTAAGCACCCTTTGAAATCCCAGCCCCACCCTTGGATTTTACACAGCAGGAACAGAGCAGCTCTACAGCCCCTCTCAGCCCACTAATGGGTTTCAGAAGTTTCCTTACACCTATGACCCACTTCCTCATAGATTCTAGGACTGGAAGGGACCTCGAGAGGTCGAGTCCAGTCCCCTGCCCTCATGGCAGGACCAAATACTGTCTAGACCATCCCTGATAGACATTTATCTAACCTACTCTTAAATATCTCCAGAGATGGAGATTCCACAACCTCCCTAGGCAATTTATTCCACTGTTTAACCCATCAAGTGGGCCCTTTGGAGGTGGAAATGTATTTCTGAGGTTAGGACCAGGGAGCAGTAGGGAAGCATGTCATTCTCCCACACTCCCACAGCAACACCAGGGGTGTTTTTGTGCAGGTGTACAGCAAGCCTGTAGCCTCATCAGTCCACTGCCAGGGATCAAACTGTGCCCTTTAACAGAAAAGAGAAGAAACTTTATGCTTATTTGCAGAATTCTGTACAGTAGCAGAGGGTGGTTTAACATTGATATTACCACCACTGGCAGATTTGGTGCAGACTGCACAAAAATTTCACTGACAGCAGTGTCATAGGAAGATTGATGCTGGCTGAGAGAGGAGGATGTTTCAGGGAAGTTGAAACAGTAATTAGATAGAAAGGAATAATACAAATAAATACCAAATGGATTTTACCTGCCAACGCTACAAAAGGATGATAGAGTAGATCAGCACATTTGGGTCCATTATGTGATAATGTAATCCAGCAGGCACAGCTACGGTTATGCTATGGCCACAATCCCATTTCATTATTTTGGTGTTTAACATTGTCTACACAGGACTTTTAATCCCCTGCTGTAGCTCCCTCACTACTGCTGTAGAGAACTGCTGAGTACCTAGGATTAGATAAAGGTGTCCTGTTTATACCACTTATTCTCCAGCACTGCCTCCAGCTATGGAATTGCAGAGGGTTGTACAACAGTGGGAAGTTTTAGGCTGTGTCATAGCCTATGTGTCACTGTTCGTACTTGGTTGGCTCAGGGCCTCAGCACGCCTTTGGACACTGGTTGCAGCTCAACAGAACTATGATAAAAGTCAAGGAGCAGCAGTTTCTACCAGAACAATAGTAACAGAATGAGGAAATGAACCAAGATGTTCACTTAAATCACAGCTGGGAGTAAGAAGTTTGGCACCGACTACATCTGCAGAGTCATAATGCTCAGCAGCTCTGTAGAAACATTAGTTAAGTGACCTCACCCTCTTTATTAACCCTTGCTGTATTTCTCCCCTTATCCGTCAAAGGGATCGCACAAGGGCCCTCACCAAAGCTGTGCCAAAACTGGAATTGTTCAGATGCTTTGTTTCCTGCTCTCAACCCTGCTATCTAACGTAAATGAACTTTTTTCTTGATAAGTAATCTGCATAGTGGCATATCAATCACTAGTTAAGTGAAAGAAAAAAAAAAAGACAAGGTATCCTACCAGTTCATAATATTAAAACGGTACTTGTCACCCCCATGGTATCACTGCCAGGCTACCAAGTGCACTTTAAGAGTTTGATGAACAACAAATAGTTAAGAATTTTATTATAAGGTCTGAGGCAAAGATTTTTTTTTTATTTTTTTTTACATCACATTTGAAGACTTTAAAGTGCTTATTCTAAATAATATACAAAGACCTTACCTGCACTATGGAATATATTATAAATTATATCATGCATCCATTAACAAAATATACAAAGCCAACAGAAATATATCTTAAGTCCAAGCATACATTATCTAAAACGATCAGGATACAGGAGAATGGCTTAGAGTTATAACAGTAAAACTAACCCAAGCATTATGGAGGGGGAAACTAAAGAGAATAGGTCTTGCAAACTTGAAAAGGTTTCAATCTCAAATGAAGTGAGTTACTTGCAAATCTTTCAGTGTTTAACAATTACTTAAAGTAGCTCAAATGGAAAGTTGTTTAAAAAGGAACCAAAAAAATAAAAATAAAAAACCAAAAACCACCCACTCTCAGTATGAAGGTATGTATTAAGAGCAAAAAGTTTTTCTTGTTGAACAATCCATTTCAAAGTAAGATGCTTACCAGCAACTGAACTTCATCCTCACCATTTCATTCTCTGTAAGCTTGAGCTACAACACTACACATACAGTTTGCACACATACTGTAGGCAGTAGCATAGCTGGGGGGGGAGCGGGGCAGCGGCCGCTCCCCCCACTGAGCATCTTGACGCCTTTTTAATTTTTACTCACCCGGCAGCGCTTTGGCGGCATGCCCTCACTCACTCCAGGTGTCTTCGGCAGCACTGAAGGAAATGCCGCCAAAGACCCACGGAGCGAGTGAAGGTCCCGCCACCGAAGACCCGGAGCGCCGCCGGGTGAGTAAAAGCACCGTCCCGTCAATAAAAGCACAGCAGCGGGTGGCGCCTTCTTTTTTGATGCTCCCCCTGTTCCCTCCACCTGGCTACGCCACTGACTGTAGGTGATGGAAAAGTATTAAAACTGCAGTTTTATCAAGTGAGGAATTATCTAGAATTGGTCCACAGCAGATAGAAATGTACTGGGGAAAAACACACTGCAAAATAGTCTCACTGTATTTCAAAATAAATGTTTAACAATTTGTTATCTTGCATCTTCTATAAAAATAGGTTTTAAACAACAAAATTGTATCTGATACATATTTTCTTTTAATACTTTATTTAATAGACTAATTTATATTTGTATGGCTAATGATTATTATATAGTCAATCACAATACTGATACTGCTTTGGACTCTTTAGCCACATCCTGTCAAAATATTAACACCTTAAATAGAAGCAGCAGAGATCAGAATTTAATATGTTTTCAATACTGTCAATGGTCTGAGTTTTGCTGTAGCAAGGAAAAAAATTCACTTAAACCATGACAGATTCAAAATAAGAATGTAGTCAACACTGCGGTCAAATCCAGATGGCTGGGTTCCAAGTTACAAAGTACTGGCACACTACTGCACAGCAGTGGATACTGATGGTTTCTTGTCATTCCCAAGAATCAAACCCTAGCCCTGACAGGTTTCAAGGGGAATTATTTTCTCAGGTTTTCATCTTTCTCAAATACTGCACATAAGCCGCAATAGCATTGTATCATACAGTACAACTGAAT